TCGACCATCCACTCCATATTCCGGCAACAGTTCCCAAATTTTCTTTCTTATAACCTTATTAAATGCTTTCTTCAGATCCACAAAAGCACAGAAAATCCTCTGGTTAACAGCCAGAAGCTTTTCCGTGATCATGCGGAGAGAAAACATATGATCCGTACATTCTCTTCCAGGTCTAAATCCGCATTGTGCCTCCCATAATAATCTTTCCGATTTCTCTTGCACCCTACGTATCAAAACCTTCGAGTAAACTTTACTTCCTAAACTGGTCAAGCTGATCGCCCGATAGCACCCGCAGTCAAAATGTGAACCTTTACCTTTATATAAAGGCACAATGACCGCGGATCGCCAGTAATCCTGGACACCTCCCGTCCGTCAGCACAAATTGCACAGCAGATGAAAGCTGTCCCAGACGTGAGGGCCACCGTACTTGACTATTTCATCAGTAACTCTGTCTAGTCCCGCAGCCTTACCACATTTCAAACTTCAAATTGCACGTTTAATCTCTTTCATGCTGATGATCTCAGTGTCATCGAGGTCCGTGTTTGGCGTACCAGTCACGGCCTCACCCCCGGATCCTTCACTAAGATCATGACACGCATACATTTCTCTATAAAATTCGCTCCATCGCTGCATGACGTCCGATTTTTCACTTTGTTCATTCTTAAGGCTGTCGCACCACTCCGGGACCTTCCAAACTCTTTCCAAAAGAGTTTGAAGTTTTCCTTAAAGTTGTGCGACAACCTTTCGTCCGCTTCTATTCTACACCTTTCACGTACTTCTTCAATTAATGTTTTCGCATGAACTTTCTGCATATATCTTTCTTTCATCTTCTCTCTCATATGCTTATCGTTACTAGAGGCCAAGTAGTCTAACTATGCTTTTTTCTTCTTCTTTACAGATTCTCTCACTTTATCATTCCACCATGCGTCTCTTCTTTTACTACTACCTCTTTCTGTCGTTCTACATACTTCTTACGCTGCACTTACCATTCCATCCCTAAGGTTCTGCCATGATCTTTCCACACATTCTTTTCTGCCATCGATGGTGTCAAGCTTTAAAAGAAATTAATATTCATTAAAACCACTTTTCATAATTCATAATTATTTATTTGCATAGAATGTAGGTAGATATTACAAGAGTATTATTAAAACATAAAAGTTCCTATACATTCTGCCTTATCGATGCGTGCAAATTTTGACTAAATAGATAAAACAATTATTTTTAATTATAGATGAATTTAACTTTTATAATGTAAATGTAAATAAAATAAATGTCAAAAGATTAATTATACTAAAAACAATGTCACTCAATCGTCCACAATGTCAAAATATAAATTTTCATATGTAAAAACAGTAAAAATAACTAACTAATAATTATTCTATAACTATCGAAGTCCTTTATAAACTCAGCAAAAACTTCAAGCATTTTTAGATATAGATATTTAAATATGTAATTTGTTTTTATTTTTGTGATCAAGATACTCATTAACAGCATAGAAACAATTAAGTAAAAGCCATTCATGAAGTTTTTTTTGTTTTTGTTTTTTTTCTTTATGTTCTCATTCCATATTTCATGGCACTTAAACTAAGTATATAATAAATACATTACCCAAAGATATAATAGAGATAGAAGAAAAGATAATATAATAGTTAGAAAAAATATATAAATTAATATTTATATATTTTTTCTTCTAAGTCTTAATTCTAATACTAATTTATTAGAATTAAGACATTAGAGCTAGCTAGCTATATTTCACGTTGTTATACCATTGCTGAGTGCATGTGCTCTAATGTATCACAAAAAGCCACAAGAAAGTGCATTAAATAAATAACTAAAGCTAGTTATTGTACATATAGTATTTCATATATACTTGCTGGTGCTCCAACAAACGGGCAGTATCGTCGGGATTCCACTCTTCATCTGATGTTGTGGTGGACACAATCTGACCACATACATCACATGTTAAAAGAGAATGATCACGTTCCACATGATCAGGTGAAGGGGTTGTATATGTTCTACTGGTGGAGCACTCCTAGTTCTTCTGGCCCTTAGCCAACATGGCACACAAGCTTCATCTTAAGAACAAAGCTAAAACAAAAAATGTAAAATAAAGAAATGCTTGTATTTAAACAAAATAAGTAGTTATAGTATGTATACCTCTCGTGAGTGGATCCAATTAGAAATTGTATTAGCCATTCTTGGTTCTTCTGCATTTGCCCCTTCAATCAAAATCCTGCATCAAATAATTCTCAGTATGGATCGTCTGCATATAACAGATATACTTTGATGGCCAACTGTTCTTCTCGGCAAATCAGATAAATGTGAATGAGTAACTAGCTGCCAGCATGGATGACAAATATAGTCAACAGGTGTTATATGGAAATAATGAAGTGATTTGGAGTACTGTTCAACATAATATACATTCCTCTCCTTTTCAGCGGTCATATTTTCAGACTAATAAATTAAAAAAATACATATAAATAACAATTTGGATTGGTATATACATACAAATAGCCATGTTTATTAGTTTCCATTAAATTATATACATACTTTAGTGTGGTATGGCTACTTTTCAATACGTAAAACTTATCTCAGAGTTTGTCACTAGCCTACTCATATGCAGAATGTTATTCGTAAACTACATGCATCTCTAGGACATGGCCACAGTCGAATAGTATTGACGACATCTTCACTTTCATCGGATAAAACGTGCCTTCTTATTCGGGACAAGCGAACGTTGTAATTCACACATTGCAAACTAGACAAAGCACGAACGCACACAGCACAGTTAATACAGCGTCCTTTCGCGAAACTTCTATCAAGAGTGATCAAGAGATAGAGTACGAGGGTGCAGATGCTCAACCCTACGTAAAAACGGCCAGACAATTCAGAATAGGAAGACTTTTCTACACCTGTCAAATAGCAATAAATAATTGCCATATGAATAAAAAAAATTGATGACTAAAATCATTCCTATCATTAAATCGTTAAACATTATGATTTTATACAACAATTAATGGATTCTTGGGTATAATATGTAAGTGTTTAATCATATATATTGTTAATTCTACTTCTATATAACGAATTACCATTTCAATATTTCTGTTATATTACGTATGGCAAGTTCTAATAACATAATTGCGTTTAGTTTACGATTATATTACGTTTATTTATTAAAAAAATTATTGATATTATTAATCAATTCCAAGTTCTGAAAATATAAAAATTACATGAAAATTAATGGCTTAGTTGCCTTAATATCTGGTACAAATTCTATAACAAAACAATGAAAAAAGTATGCGGTATTAAATCTTCCGTTTCCTAATTCTTTAACGGGGAATCGAACCAGGTATTGGCTTATTTAACCTGTTAATTCAAATAAAGGTTAGGTGGACCCCCCCCCCCCGAACGGGTTCCCGCCTTGTGGTGTCGGGGGGCTTAGTAGCCGTGGCTTGGTCACCCGCGGTGAACAAAGAGGAACCTACATGGCTGGCCCGAGGTGAATGGCCGGCTCGAGGCGGCCACTCCGAGTGGGCTTGTCCAGCCCACTTCGAATGTTTGCTGGTGGACTGCGGGGAGAGGGTGTCCTCATCCCCTACCGCTGCAGCCGAGGTGGAGTCGCGGAGGAAGAGGAGTGTTGGTATGGCGATGCGCCACTCGCCCTATCCTTCGCGACTCAAACGGGGCCGTACCGTTTATGCGGTAGTGGTGGGGCTGCGGGATTGGGATCAGGATTCAAGGATCAGGATTTTCGGTATTGCGAGGCACCGTTCTCCCTACCCTCCGCAGCCGAATCTCGGTTGGCGGTGGAGTCATAGACCAGATCCGCCGCTGGGGTCGGGAAGGCTAGTGCTTCTAAGTGCTCGTTTTTCCTGGCCCTATGGCCTTCGCGCATCGGACACGAGGGTGTCCGTTGCGCAGGTGTAATTGAAGGCCGTGGAGAAAGGCGCACCATGTGTTCTGGTGCGCCTTACTTGAGAAGGAGAAAGGGGAGAGAGTCCTCTTCCAAGGAGGCGCCGCCGTGGGGCGGCCGACGCTGGTAGGGTTGCGGATGTGTGCCAAAGCCTTCCCGTGGCCCTGCCAATATGCGAACTAGGTGGAACACCATGGGGTTTTAGTCGGTTCGAGTCCGACATAACCCGTCCTTGCCCCCGCGAAGCGAGTATGCGTAGGCATTTCCCCATGTAAAAAAAAGGTGGACACTAGCACAGTGGCAATATAGTAGGTTATAGGTTATAGGTTAGTAGGTTAAGTTGATAAGTTAGACATTTAGACCAGTGTTGTAAATTATTAGGTATTGGTACGTTCGTGGGCTGCGTCGTGCGAATATTGACCCTCGTCAGCCGATTAAAGGTATTTTAGGTTCCACTACTAGTTTTATTTTTAAGTATTTTCATTACTTTTTTAATGAAATTATCGTTTCACTTAACTACAAAAACGTAATATTACAAAAGCAGTAGGTATAAATATACTATTTATTTTTATATATTGTTAAAATAATATTAACATGTACCTTTGCGTTAATGTTTTATGCTTATTCACATAATATGTTTAAGTTATTTTTAACAACCTTTATTTTTTTATTTCTCCCAGAATTGATTGATAAAGAATGGCATAAGGCATTAAGTTCGCCCATTGTAACCCTTAGTGCGTCAATTTATTTGGAATTGACATACCATAATACCAATCAGTTTGAAGATTTCCAATATCAATCCTATTTAGGATTTTGTAGCTACCTACAACCATCGCTTTATTTTGAAGGATTTACAAAAACACTGAATCTTTGTGACCTAACAAAAAGAATTAAAAAAAAAAACAATTTATCACTTGCATTTCGTCTTTATTTTCTTCATATTTAGTTTTGTTCCATTCATATTGCTATTGTATCTGTATGTAGGCTGTGAACAATAATAATCTTCATTTTTTGTCCGCTAATAAAACAGGTATCATATTATGAACAAAATTATATTAAGTGTAGTGGATTTAAACGGAAGATTCATCTAAAAAGGCCAAGATCTGCCTGTTTGTAGCGCGTAGATGCCGCTTCTGAAATAAAATAGGTTTATTACCTAAGTTACTTAACAAAGATATGAGTACTAAGTTTCACATGCTTTATCTATAGGGTCTTCACATCACCTCATTTTTATTGATTGCACAATTTTTAGATGAATTACACGCTAATGAATAAAGTAACAAGTAAATAATTTTAATTACCCTCGTTTGTTCATGATTGCGTTGCCCATAATGAATTCAGCACCGCTACATGTAGAGTGCTCGGCTTCGTTGATATTTTGGCACAATCTGCCTACAAAGTGATTTGTCACAACACTCGATGCAAAAAGTTCAGGCGCACGTACATGCGAGCACATGCTTGTTAAGCAACCAGGTTGTGGGTTTCTACCACCGTTGGGGTAGAAATCAGCGTCAGAGATCGCATCCATAATACCAAGGATACGGCCGTCGGTATGAATGGATTCTACATACTGCCCGTCATTACGGTTCAATGCGTTTGAGCTACCACTCCATAGAGGTCCGCCGGGATCTAATCCTAATAACAAAATATGGGATGAGATGTTTAATTTTTTTAAGTATAATACACAAAAGTTCTTACGAGTTAATTTCGTAAGGTTACTAACGCTAACAAAGAAAGGTTTACGTAGTGCTGCGAGCATTTCAAGTGATAAGTCAAAACCATGCTCATAAGTAAGTATCTAAAATCGTACGTGAGTGCGTGTCTATAAATTGAGCATGGTTTTGACCTTACTTGAAATGTAATGTACTCTGTGTCCTACGTTTATCTTTTTTTGTTGGTCTGAGTTACATTAGTGTGAGATTTGGGATAGTTAAAGTTTATATAGATAAGGAGTGAATAATGTAAATATTTATGTATTATAATTATAATATGAGTTAAAATACATTGAAATTTTTTAATGTTTATATTTAATCTGCAAATGTCATTGGTTTAAACACATACTGGCCTGTAGTCAAACAAAGTCAAAGATGCACAGAGTGGAGAATGTTAAATATTGCCTACAAAATAATGCGTGTGGAGTATATGTCAAGGCAAAAAAGCGTTTATTTTTTTAAATGTTAGTTAGAAGCATAATTAATATGCTTTCGACTAACCATTCATTTATTCGTATTATACATAATACTTAGAGTTGATATTGAAATACAACTTCTTTTTTCTACAAACTGATAAGTTCAATGAATTACTGTCGAATTTCGAACACAATGCGACCATTAGTGGGTATTTAGTTAAAAAAATAGCTTTTTACTCGCGGCTTTGCTCGCGTGGGTTCTCATTTAAAAACATTATTAATGCTATTCCATACCAAAATTAGCAAAATTGGATCACTTGTAAAGTCAACTCGATATATCTGTCTATATTGTACAAATGATTGAAATTCGGAAATATGCTACAGAAACACATAAGTTCAAAATAACATTAATATCATACATCTAGCGACACCTTTTTATATCAGACATGTCTTTCGATGTGTCTTTATTAAGGTTAAATTGCCTTGGAATCAGAAACGCATTATTTACATAATATTCATTATTAAAACTTGATATAGTTTTGACAAAATAGTGTTGGATTCGATGGTCTTCATTAATACACGGCTTAGTGTTTATACGCATTATTCGTTTGCATTGAATATTGATTGGCATCACGCAAAGACTATATAATGTGGTTATATTCTCTATGGCATCACAAATACATGTCAGTAAATTTTTATGTTCGAGTAGACTTCAAAATTTCATAATCGTTCGTAGGTGTCATAAGAGGCGATAGAGGAAAACAGAAAATGGAGGTCGATGGCAGCAGCGTCTTACTGAGAATAGCGCAAAGTAATAAAACCTGCAGTAAGCATCCCGCTGGCCAAGCGTTAATACAGCAAAAATCCGGTGTATTTGACAAAAAAATGGAGGAAGCGTTGGAACAGTGAATAGCCCTATTAAAAGTAAAAAAGTAGCAGCCTATATACATCCCACTACTGGGCACAGGCCACCGCGAGTTATAGGTCAAAAAGGAGTTGATTAATTTGTCTCCAACGCGGGATGACCGATTTCAAATACCTTTACTTAAAAATGATTTCTGAATTATTTTTTTTTTGACCTCTCAGATATGCAGGTTCTTTCAGTTTTTTCACCACCGAGAACTTGGTAAATTGAAACTTAAAATTGCAGTTAAAATATGAGTGGAGTCGGCGCGTATCTAAATCGGGTTGCTTACGTACCTATTACGAAATTTACGTATAGACCGGTTTGATTACCGGCTTATACAGATGAATTTCATTATTCTATCATTGTAGTTCTACTCATAGTTCAAATAAAAATAAACCCCTGTTTAAAATTTGTTTTTTTTCATCTACTCATGTGAGCTATGAAACGGGGACCGTCATAAAAATTTTAATAGTTATGTCTGAAAATTTGAAAGCTATCTTAATATATAACAAACTGTTTTAAAAATCTCATTAAAATTAAAAAGTCTGGGTGAACGGTATCATGAACTATTCCATCAATTACGTACAAAAATCTTACAGTGCATTTAATTTTTAATTACTTATATCGGACTTGATACAAAAATAAATCAGTGAAATATTTCTATTCCGATAGATACACAACATATTCAACAAAAAATCTTCTCTCTTAATCAAAGTTTTATGTACACAGTTTTGTTGGTAATTTTGCCAAAATTGACATTTATGATAAATCATGGAGACAGTGTCATCAGTCTATACCGGTCTGACTCTTTTTGATGCTGCAAGATTTAGTACATATTTACTAGAGTTGTGTTTAATTTAACCACTTACGTACTTAGCTTATTTAGCAGTAAGTAGATCGCACTATTATAACAATAAAACTACGATAACCAAAACTTTACCCTCTGGTACTCGACAAAATAAGTTGAGGTGCGACTGGAGTAACATTTATATAATACATAAATTTGGCATAAAGTGATGTAGAATCTATTAAAAATTCTGTTTTTATCAAATATACGCAATCAGCGCTATTAATGGTGTGAAATTACTGAAATTGTTTTACGATATAACAATAACATCTAGAAATAGCAATATCGTGTTTAGTTGTTAATATCGCGACAAAATCTCTATTAATTGATTTGGTCAAGTTATATTATGATACAGTCAACAAAAACTTAAATTTTATGAAATACCGCCATTTCACTTTCAATAATCGCCTAATTTATGATATTATGAATTCTAAGATCTGACCGATGCATATATGAAAATCTTTTTATTTAAACTATAAGGATAAGAATTTTGTTCTAATTGCAATTTTTATCAATTTATTTATAGATAAAAAACTAATATCTACCAAAACTTATTATAGATTAGAAATTAAATTTAGAAACATCCTTAATTTTGTGATTTTCGATAGATGTCACTATTATATATTTAAGTAGTAAATAGTTACATTAAAATTTATTTATATCTAGTAAAATGAAATAACAAAAAAATAAAAATGCACATTAGAATTTTCAAATCAATTATGAATTTACTTAAATGACTGTTTAAATAAGTAAGTTATTAATATTATTTAATTTATTCGTAACTGGAGGCAAAATGTCAAAATGTGTGTGTGTTTTTTATATTTTACGTTAGATGACATTCTCTTGTAAAAGTGAATACAAAAATAATATCGTTGATGTAGTTAAATTTATTATGCAAAAGTTAAAACTAATTTTAGGCTTTATTAATAAATATTTTATTTAGTTTAATAAAACATCATCGTATAAAATATAAATTAATATCTAAAGGAAGGAAAAATACTTAACCTTCCTCTTTTGAAGTTCCGTAATCGGTAAAAAATAGCCTGTAAGTAGCCCCGGGTCCCTAACTACCTACACACAATTTCATAGAAACCTGTTGAGTAGTTTTTGCCAAAATTTCTTCTTCTTTGACTGACTAAAATTCTCAAAACCACTAATTTGGCTTCAGTGCCCTTTATTTAGTCCAGGGGACTTGTTTTCCCCAGAAAATATTAGAATTACAGACACTACAGATTTATTATATATAGATAAGAGTGCCCTGGATAAGAAGATTGCGCAGGATTGTAACACTAATCAGTCGCGAAGACTGAGGTGGCTTCGGTCTAGATTCAGTTATTTAATCCGAGGTACTTTCTTTTTTTTAATAATAATCCATTGATCCTAAGAATGGTATGGTATCTTGGAGTTTTGCAGTGGTAGGTTTGAATTAGAATTTTACTTTATTAACTACCTGTAGTACCCTAATGCAGCAATAGAGAACTCATTACCCTATAACTTAGCGTGGGTGTAGTAAGGGGCGACAGAGAGAAAATGAAACAAGAGATGGAATTTTTATAATAGAAACTTAATGATAATAAAACATTACAGTTGTCAAACTAACTTAGATCGTATTTTATAAATAAGATACTAGTAATCCGCCCCGGCTTCGTACGTGTAATTTCTGGATCTCGACAACAACGCCACGTCTAAATGTAATCGAATCGAAACGATCTAGGGACTCATCCAAACACTCACAAATTAAATTAAATTCTGTCGAGCCATTTTTGAGTTTTAGCGAGACTAACGAACAGCCATTGATTTTTATATGTATATAGATTTTCCAGAACGTATTCTTTTAGTTTTATATTTTTATTGGTAAATGGGGTGTAGTTCTTTATTTTAATTTTAAATATCATATCACAAGATTTTGGCTATATTTATGGTAAGCCAGTTACATAGAAACCAGTTATATAAGGTATAGAAATCTTCCTATGATAGTGTAATAATATGTGTGCCCAAAGTAAAATATTTAAATGTGTCATTAGCATAATTATTTATCTTTTATAATACTATTTTATTGTTTAAAATTCTCTAAAATATAAGAAGACTTAAGTAACTTAAGACACTGAAGCGGAACAAATAATTTGAGCTATATTATATCACCATCGGTTATTTTACAAATTCACTTCATTCATTCATCGGTTATTTTACAAAAATAGCTCACACAACCTACTCGTATCACTTATACGTTTGGGTCTTACTATTAAAAAAAATAAAAATTATAACTAACCTGTAACACGAGCAGGTAGTCCTGCGGCAGTACGGCCAGCGTTGCCGACAATGTGTGCTCCTAAGCTGAAGCCAATCAAGTGAACATTGTTCCAATTGCCGCCAGCAGTGTTGATGAGCCATATTAAGAAGTTACCAAGGTGTTGGCCAATATTGGGAACGCTGCTAACGGCAGTAACATAGCTAGAGCTGGCAACTGCACCCCAATCAACGACAATGACGTTTGCGTCTTGAACAGCGAGGACGGCTGATGTAATAAGAGGATTAATCCAAGTGTTCCCATCGTTGGTCCATCCATGAACAATAACGAAAATGGGTCGATTTCCGTTGTAGTTGGAGTTGCTGATTGTGTTTGAGTTACCATGTACAATGACTTGACGGTTGATGGGGTTTGATCTGGAAAAAAATTCACCTATAATAGATAAGAATGTAGAGACGATGAAAGTAAGAGGATGTTTTCACCATTCTATTAATTGGGTGCGTACCGAGACGTAAAATTGACACTTTTCGAGTACCAATATTAGACGCACAAATATGGACAGATGGTACTATGAATACAGGCAATATACTCATATTTATATGGGGCCTCAGCTGGTAAATAGCCGTACTGTTGTAATAACTGGTCAGTTGTTTTATGCAATATTGTATATTGCGTTTCGACTATTAATGTTTTAACTACCATATAAGATCATATAAGAACCATGAGGAGTGTGTGGCTCTATATGGCTATTTGCTCACTGCAGATTTCATAGCATGTGAGCAACTGGAGTTCGTTTCCCGCCGGTGGCGAAGAAGTTGTGAAATGCAAGTTCAACGCTGATTTACCGGGTGCTCGGCGGAGGAAAAAAACTTTGTAACGAAACTTGCCTGTCTGAGGAATAAAATATTTCGTGAAAACGTGCAGCGCGGCGAACTTATTGCTCTATACTCTCAGAAATGTGTTTTGCAGTGGAACATAAAGTCTGAAACTTTTATAATGTTATTGCCGTATGATGGCGATCTATAAGATCGTATAATAAATGCACAACATTCCGTGGCTGTCGCATGAGGTGACGATGGACGATGGAAAAGTCATAAAGATCTTAGACCTCCTTAATTCTAAATAATCAAATCAAATCAAAGGTGCGAGGTATTTTTTGCTAATCCGAAAAAAGAAGAAAAAGAAAGTAAAAAAGGAAGAACATTCAATAGTTTTAGTTATAGTACCACTGTCTTGAGTAAATGTATGTATAAACAACTTCAAGTTTTTGGAGTTTATTTTATTGATATAAAGTTCCGTTTGGCATATCTGCAGCAGTGGATTCGAAGTTAGAATTTGAAGTTTATAAAGATAGCGAAGTGTTTACCTATATGCACATATATATACTACTTTATAGACATTATTGGTGCCTATGTTCATTGTTACACGAACCTTGTGAACAGCCAGTATTCATTGTTTGCGCCATTTCTATTTCTTAGGAGTTCCTCGTCGACTGGTTCCTCCAAATCCACTAGGTGGGGTACGCCATCTCCATCAGGTATCCAGACGTAGCGGCTTTCACCTTCCATGTAATGGCTATTATCCCCGGGCACAAAGGGTATTGCATTGCCAGCACATACTAGAATTGCAAAATATGGTTAAAATATTAAGTAGTTTAATTAACATTTGAATGTATCGAAAATAACGTACTACTAACGTGCTATAATAGAAATAAAAATTGCCAAACACTTCATGGCTAAGGTAAATTCAAGTGCAGTTTTGAATTTACGGGTGGTGTATATATTTAATCCTTATCTCAAATAAAATTTTGTAAAATGGCTGAGGACTAGATAATTTTAAGATCATATCGAGTAATTAATTCATAATCTCGCCATATTACTCGTGGGCTTAATTATTTTAAGGATATATTTATCTTAGCATGTATTTTGTTCGTGATTAATGACAATAGATTAGCATATTTTTAACTTCACGCTAAGAAAATTGAAAATTTTCAAAAATCGGGATATTATTGATGGAAGTTTTACCCCGTTTTCCGTGAAATTGTTTTGTATTGCTACCCTGACAATTTTTCGATGGTGTCTGTTTGTCTCTGTGTGTGTGCGTGCGTGCGTCCGTGCGTGTGTGCGTGCGTGCGTGTGTGTGTGGATGTACGTAAACCTCTTATAACTTTTGCACGGCTAAGCCGATTGAAATCAACTAAGCAGATTTCCAACGTGTTTCATCAAACTTAGATTTGCTATGAATTTTAACTAATTCGGACCGTTAGATTTTGAGAAATCTCAAAATAAAAAATTTAAAAACTGCTTTTTTGGAATAACTTCTAAACGGCGTTACCGATCGATTCCAAAATCTTATTAACTTTTAACCTTGAAAAACTATGTCAATCGCCGCCGGTGCGATGAAAATCGGTTGATTCAATCGTGAGATATCGATTGAAGAAAAATTTTGATTTGATTTTTTTTTAAATTAATCCGCTATTTCAAATTCAACGTTATATTTTGGTGAAATTTGGAGCGCTTTGTATTTGAAATTAGCGAGAAGTTCCATGGATAGCCTACAGGGTCAACGAATTTTTTCTTTTTTATTTAAAGATTTGAGGGTTTATTTTTAATTTTCTCTGAAAAAAAAAACTGCTGCAAGAGACTCCCTAATTTTAGAGCCAGTTCCTAAAAAATAGGCTGCTTTAGTGGCCAAACATTTTATATAAAGCTGTTTACATTTATTCGACACTGTTTTTTGTCCGTGTCGACAAGAAATGTTGGGTGTTTTGCCAGTCTTCTACGTTCGTAAAAAAAAATCGCCGCACACGCGCCACGCGCATCGTGAAAGGCTTGGCATGGCGCGGTGCAGGCAGACGTGGCGTGGCGTGTGTTATCCGTTTAAAGTCGGTAACTTCAAAGGCGCAGTGCGGTGCGGCGCGCATGTCTAAAGACGGCTTTTCACTGCGTGTGTTACGCACCGCGCCGCGCCCGAGTTGATTTGTATGCGCAAGCACGCGCCGCGTCGCGCCAGTGAAAACGGGTGGCGCGTGTTCGCGCGTGGCGCGTGCTTGCGCGTGGCGCGTGCTTGCGCGTACAAATCAACTCGGGCGGCGCGGCGCGTGATAACACACGCAGTGAGAAGCCAGCTTTACGTGGGTCATTGCACGGTAACGCGGTAACGTGGCGCGTTAGAACAACGCTGCAGCTATAATATAATTGCAGCACGAATGGGTCGGCTCGAACAGGGAAGAATCAAGCTTTCTAAGAATACCAGCATAATGCTTCTGTGTTTTTTATAGTGAGTGTAGAGAACAGGAGGTTTTACTGGTAACGAGGCAATCTACCTTAGTTCTTAGTGGTGATAACGAAATTTAATTTGAGAATAGATGTATGCGTATCAGGTAGACTGTGTGCTCGTTTGTCACCCCTATTTTATAAAAAAAACGCTAGTGTGCAATAAGCGCGTGATTCTCCTCCGGTCGAGCATGACTCGACCATTTGCAGTTTATCAAACCGATAATGGTAACTATTAATACTTTTATCGACAATATATTATTTCAATCAATTTGGTTATCATATCAATGCTAAATGCAAAATGTCTTCATGTAACATGTAGTAGGAATATACGATGAGGAAGTTTGTATATTAAAAAAATGTAATGTACTCATTTATTATTTATTTTAATTTTATATAAATAATGATTTTCTTACTTTATAAAACTTAAATGACATTTTACTCGTAACTAACGTTCACTTCTTAATAGAAGGGCCACAAACTGTCTGTTGTCAGACAATATAGACCCAGATCTGGAAACAAATATCAAATAAATTAGAAACAAAAACTATGTTGTGTTAAGCTGTGATGTACTTTGACTACTTTTCTGTAATGCTGTTAGAGTATCCAAAATATTTAATTCAGACTTTTTTTTAATTTTTTGTTTTTTTTTTTTAATTTATGAAAGAAGAATTTAGGAAGAATCCTTTAGTAGTTTTTAATATATTAAACGGTCTACTGACTTTCGCTGAACGATGATAAATAATTATATATCATGATCTTATTCACGTATTATTATATTTGAAAATACTAAAATATTCTTTAAATGCCTTGTATTGACGGCGTAAGATAATCCACTGAACTATTCTCTACCACATATCGTGCCATGGGTGTCGTAAGAGATGGCAGAGAAAAATGGAAACAGAATATGGGCAGCAGCATTTTCCCGACTTATATGTAGTATAGTAAAAGCCGTTGGCAACCTAACTGAAAAGCGTGGCAACTACGGCAAGTTACTCCCAACATAATATGTGACAATTTACGAGGGAGGCCTTTGTTCAGCATAGCTAAGAACACTCTCGATCAAAATCATTTCAAACGAAAAAAAAAACTTAATCAACATGAGTTCAACCGTTCAGGAGCTATGATGTCACAGACAGATGCACACTACAAACATATAACTACAAATATATAAAACAACAAATAAGAAATCATTATATAACAATACTATGTTTTGGTCAGGGGTTAAAAATAGCCAAGTTGAAAATTTGCTTTTTTTTTAAATCAGCTCAGTAGCTCACAGGTGAAATCTTTGGATGCGGAGCTGCGGACTGCGTGCTTGCAAAATGTTTATATGAGATATGGTACGTACAGACTTCCTCAAAAAAAGCATACTCAAAATGAGCATGCTCTGCAACTGTTCACATTTGCCAGCAATAAGCACTATTAAAGCTTGAGACGTGCTATTTGGCACGGACTCTCGGCCAAAATGTATGTACAAAAATATAGTGAAAGTGCTATCAAAGGGCGTAAGAAGAAAAGTTTCTTCTTCCCTCCAACGTGACATCGTTGAAAGTCGAATCGAAGAAAAAACTTTGCTTTCGAGGGTCGAGGGTTTTTTTATTTTAAATTGACGCAGCAACTGTCGCGGATCGATTTGATAAAACGTGCTCATAAGCAATCCTGTTCAGTTCAGACGCGCTCGGAGCACACTCTTCTCCCCGCGCCTCACGTAGCATGCTAGAAATTCAAACGTCGGTTGATTTTTGAGCATGCTCAAAATACGCATACTCATTACTAGCAATGTTGCAACATACGTGCTACTAATGAGCAATTGCTCAATAAAAGCATACGTTCGTGCTAGTAATGAGTACGTCTGTCCGTACCTATACAAATAATTGGCCCGGGTCTGAATGTTGGTTCAGATGCGATATATTTATGAAGAATGCCTCTACGATATCGATAATGATTATTTTATTTAAAGTCATCCTCACGGCATATGACAAGTCCATTGGTTAACATAGACCGAAAGGAATGCTACAAAGCACGGTGTTGTGCGGTTTTCCCGTGTTCATCGACTTCCTTCCTTTCTTCCTTTCTACTAGATGGAATGATGGTATTGAATAATACATGGAATACTTATGTATTTATTGTAAATGTTTTTTAACAATAGTAGAGCCACGCGGCAGGTTTGCTATTGCACGTATGGGCCGGCTCAAACAGGGGTGGTACCACGACCTCACAGAATACCGGCATGAAGTGGAAGCTCAGTTTCCGCGTTTCGTCTGGTGAGTGTATGTTGCCGGAGGCCCGTCCCCCTCCCCTTAACATGGTAGCGGAATTAAGTCAAGATTTACCTCAGGAGGGTACCAGCACCCCTGGGGAATCCCTCGCTGAGCATCCACGGCCAAGTTACTCCACTCTTGAGCGTGGGTGCTCAGGCAGCCCCGCGTATTCTGGGAGGGGGGGGGGCGGCTCAGGGCAAGCTGCGCAACAAGACCAAGGCGAACCCTGCCACGCTATCCATTCTCGCCGGATGATCCCAACGTCGTTGCTGATTTTGACGCTTATCAGGTAATTTAGTGTATGGATGTTTTGATTACTTCCTCTGTGGTGCCCATCGGAGGCAAATCTCAGCCATGGTTTGGTCGCTCCGGTGAAATATCATCATGTTACAAGCAGGAGTGCTACCAAACCTGGGCTGACGCGTCAACGTCCCGGGATGTAAACACCAGAGCTCTAAAAACGAAGTATAATTCCGCTTCCAGGTCCTTCAAAAGAGTCATTGCCAGGGCAAAGTCAGAGCACATAGGCAGAATTGGTGAAAAACTAGTTCGCCTTCCTTCTGGAACCCGTGAATTTTGATCTCTCGCCAAGGTTGTCCAAGGGAATTTCTGTCAGCCATCTCTTTCATCTCTGCACAGGGAGGACGACTCACTGGGAATGCCGCAAAGGAAAAAGCCAAATTGCTAGGCTCTTTCTTTGCGTCCAACTCGACTCTCGATGACGGGGGGAGTATGCCGCCGACCATCCCGCGGTGTGAGTGCTCCATGCCGGAGGTGCGGTTCACAAAGCACTTCTCTCCCTGGACATTCACCAGTTGAGTGGGCCTGACGGTATCCATCCAACTGTGCTGAAAACGTGATCTTCAGAGATGGCACCGGTCTTAACGCGTCTTTTCAGGTACTTCTACTGCCTAGGCGTAGTTCCAAAATCATGAAAGACGGCTTTCATCCACCCAATCCCTAAAAAAGGCGACCGCTCAGACCCGTCCAACTACAGGCCCATCGCCATCACCTCCTTGTTCTCCAAAAAAATGGAGTCCATTGTAAACTGCCAGCTCATGAGGTACCTTGAGAATCACCAGCTGATTAGTGATCGCCAATATCGTTTTCGTCGTGTTCGATCAGCTGGTGATCTCCTGGTCTGCCTGACTCATAGATGGGCGGCAGCAGTAGAGTCCAAGTGGGAGGCATTGGCCATTAGTTTGGACATTGCGAAGGCATTTTATCGATTTTAGCACAAAGCACTTCTTTCGAATCTTCCTTCCTATGGGCTTGCCGAGAAATTGTGCAATTAAGTCACCAGCTTTCTTGCAGATCGGACCATCAAGGTCATTGTAGACGGTGCAAGCTCCGATTACAAACCTATTAATGCTGGTGTTCTACAAGGCTGCGTGCTATCACCAACGCTGTTACTTCTGCACATCAATGATATGTTGCAAACCGGCAACATTCATTGTTATGCAGACGACAGCAGTGATGATGCTCTGTACACCGGTCGTGCCAATATTTCTCAGGAAAACGTGTCCGAGTACCGGGACAAACTTGTGTCTGAAGTCGAGTCTTTACTGAACAAAGTTTCGGATTGGGGGCGACTAAATCTAGTTCAGTTTAACCTTCAGAAGACACAAGTTAACCACGTTAACCTTTTAAAAGAACCCCTTTGTCGTATCTCCTCAGTTTCAAGGCACTCCCCTTGTTGCCTCAGCCAGTATCGGAATCCTCGGCGTCGACATATCGAGTGACGTGCAGTTTCGTGGTCACATGGAAGAGAAGGCCCAATTGGCCTCTAAAAAGCTCAGCAAAGCGGTACAGTATTTCATGCCGGCACACGACCAGCAACTTTACAAGGCGCAGGTTCAGCCGCAAATGGAATTCTGTTCCCATCTCTGGGCTGGAGCTCCCCAGTACCAGCTCCTTCCAATTAACCGCATCCAGCGCAAAGCGGCTCGAATCGTCGACGACCGAGTGCTTACCGATTGGCTCGATTCACCGGCGCTGCGAAGAGATATTGCATATCTTTGCGTATTTTATCGCATCTATCACGGGGAGTGCTCTGAGGAATTGTTCAGATTAATCCCAGCCACCAAATTACATGAACGCACTACGCGGCAAACCTCCCGATACCATCCACACCATCTGGATGCTTGGCGGTCCACCACTGTACGTTTTACAAGAAGTTTTCTTCCGCGTACGACCTCTCTGTGGAATGCTTTATCACTAGCGATTTTTCCGGACCGATACGACCTGGGGGCCTTCAAGAAAAGAGCTTACTCCTTTTTATAATGCCGGCAACGCACCTGCAATTCCTTTGGTGTTGCGGATGTTCATGGGCGGCGGTAGTCACTTAAACCGTATGCTCGTTTGCCCCCTCTTCTATATAAAAAAAAACAATTTGTGGATGTTTTTTCTAGATGTTTGACATTTGATAGTTACGTAATTAATTTTCTTTAATAATTTACTTCGTTAGATTGTAATAATTATAATATTATTTTTTTGGATATTTTAAAACTATTGCACGCCATTATCATGGTAAAATGTAAAGTCTCATTAATAACTAACGACATCGTAAATCGTAATATTATGTAGGTACTTACATTTTGGCAATAAATGAAATTGAATTGAATTGAATACTTACCCTCTCTTAGTCATTTTACTGTTTCCCATATTGAGTGTACTTCCAGTGCACTTATCGTTTTGTACTGCAGTTAAGTTCTTACAAAGACGACCAATGAAATGGTCGGTCTGAACACTCGACGCAAATAGTTTAACTGTGTGAGAGCAAGTGCTGATCCAGTTACCAGGTTGTGGATTCTTCCCACCATTGGGGTAGAAGTCTACATGGGAAATAGGATTAAAATCACCAAAAATTCACCATCGGTGTGAACTGATTCCACATACTATCTTGAGTCAGTATTTAATGCGTTTTTATTTTGATACCACAGCGGCCCGGCGGGATCGAGGCCTGTTAGATAATACTTAATTAGTAAGAACAATTTGAATTAATTTAATGAAATATATTATTTTCCCTGCGAAGAGCTTACCTGTCACACGTGCTGGTTTTCCACCAATTGTGCGACTTGCGATGTCAACGACATGCGCCCCTAGGCTAAAACCTACCAAATGAACGCGATCCCAGTCTCCACCAGCAGTTTCAACGTGCCATTTTAAAATGTTGCCAAGATATTGGCCCACGCTCGGGAGACCGTAAGTAGCTGAAATGTAATTGGAACTTGCGAGGCTACTCCAATCAACAACAATGACATTAGTGTCGAGGACCTCTAGGAAGGCAGATGTGATGAGCGGATTCATATAGGAACATTGCTGTTCCAGCCATGGCAATAACTTGTAATGGCTTGCTACCATCGTAATTTGATTTCCGTATTCTGTTTTTATCACCATGTGTGATCAACTGTGCACTGGTGGGATTACAGACACACATGACATGATCGATATGGCGAAACTATAAGGGTTTCTTGTTGTGTATGTACGGAACCCTAAAAAAGTAGGTAAATTGGACCAATATGCATGAACAATGAGGCGTTTCTGGGCTTCGCATTGTTTACTTTAGAGTTAGAATATTATTTATCATTGTTTTTTGTTTACAAAATATATTAGTTGCTCTTGGTTGATTACCTTCAAATTCACGGTATGAATGAAACCTAAGATTTTAACTTTACCATGAGCTATATACTAAGATGAAAATAACTAAAGTTACAAAAAACTTCTAAAGTTATTTCGCATTCAAAGCCATTTTTTGAACATAAGTACGGACCTTAAAATAATGCATCTCGGTGGGAATGCAATATCAATGAAATTTACGCAACAAGTACTACTACTATCAAAAGTACTATGCATTAATGGTTCAAGATCACAAACTGATTGACGCAAAGCGGAACGCCCGCGTCCAAGCTTGTATCATAATGCTAAATCGACATAGAAGAGAGATATTTTAAGTCAAATTGTTTTTTGCGATGAGAAGTTAATAATATAAGATAATCGCGTGGATTCATTAAAGTGGTTATATCAAGTAGCAAGCCGAACTGTACTCGAAACGAAATATTAGTCAGAAGTTTACGGCGAGAGTTTGTTGGTCTAGTGTTGGTGTTATTTACTACTGCTTTTGTTATTATCATCTGGTGTCACAGTTACCGATCAATTTTATTGTGAAGTATTGTAATTGATCGTGGACAAGCGTGGATTAAAAAATTTCAGATTGGTGTACTGCTCTTCACCATTGACAAGACAACACCCGGCCACTTATTGCACTTGTATTGTGACTGACATTAGAAAAATCAGCAAAGCTAAAGCTCTAACCCTTCCTCATTAACCATACTCTTCGACGTTCACTTTATTCGAAGTTCGAAGAAGTTGAAAAAAAAAACGTCATTAAAGAGTTCAGGAGATCATCCGAGAACATCAATAATTTCACATAAAACAAGAATTTGTATATAATAGTTTCGCAAATATTTTGATTATTAAGGTATTTGGTTGAAATTTTTATTTTATTTGCATCTTATAAACGGCAATTTTATAGGTAAAGGCTTAATAATAACTTACTTAGACAGTAGAATAATAATTTAAAATTTCAAACGTCGTTATTATTATTTTCGTAAGTTCTTAATCTCCTCTTAACCTAGTGGCGCTCAGTGTCGCGTTCTTTAAGCTATCTAGGTTTGGATAAACATTTGTTACTTTATTGTTAAATGCTGTTAATAATTTGTTTGACTAGTTAATACTCATAAATCCCATTCAATTTCGTTGGATCACTGATAACCTGAAAAATAAAAATACGGTGTTTATATACTACTTTTGCTATTAGTACCTTATTTTGAATTCACATGCAAAATTGCAATTTATTTAATTATGACATAATTTTAAGGCTTCTTAAGTCTAACCACAAATGTTAAAATATATATATATATATATATATATATATATATATATATATATATATATATATATATATATAGATGATAAGAGTTAAAATAAATGAGTTCTCCAAATAACAGATGATTCTAACTGCGTCAATGATAAACATATGATAACTACTATTGTCAATACGTATACTAAACTACAATACGATACCAATAATCGCTGATATTTCGATCGAAAGAATATTATGATACTGGCTGCAAACTTAGCTTATTATTATAGTAACGTTTTTCGTCCGATTACGTCCGTAATCACTTGAAAATTGTATAGATTATATTATGCTTGACTTTAAAAAAGCACTTCACCCTTAGTCTATTTACTTTACTTTTATCAAGAAACTTTATTGTTTTAACCATAAAAGTTACAAAGGATGGTCTTAATGTCAGGTAGCATTCTCTGCCAGTTAACCCAAGGCGTGGTGAAAAATTAGTGGCAGGTGACTTAAATAATAGGTCCTTATACATGAAATTGGTGTTTTGTAGGGGAGGAATATAAAGTAAATATTTTTTTAAAATATATTTAATTAATCATAGTATGCACCGTCGTTATTTATGCACTTTTGCCATCTCATAGGTAGTTCATTGATCCCTTTACTAAAAAAACCGTGGGGCCGAGAATCAATAAGTGTTGGATTTGATTTTTTTTCCTTGTACGAAGTTATCCGAATTCCGGAAAAAATGGTAATCTGTGGGAGCAAGGTCCGCGGAGTGCGGTGGATGTCGCAGACATTCCAATTGTAGCTTATCTAACTTAGTGGTTGTTTGTTGAGCAGTGTGTGGTCTTGCGTTATCGGGAAGCAGCAGTGCCCAAGAGCGATTGACCAATCTCGATTGTTTAGCAGCTAGTTCTTTCTTCATGGTTTACAGTTGCTGACAATAGATATCTCCCGTAATTGTTTGGTCAGATTTTACCGACACACACTTTACAGAAGACACCGGCGCTAGTTCACCAAACACTCACAAATAACTTTTTCTGAGTAATTTATCGTTTAGGGCAGAATTTGGCTGGGTCTTCAGGGTTCAGCCATTGCGACGAGCGCTTCCGATTATCGTACAGTATCCACTTTTTATCACAAGTAATAATTTGATTTAAAATGCCTTCATTTTCGTGTTGGTTGAGCAAAGTAACACAGCAGTCGACGGGTGTTTGCAAGTTCGATTCACTCAATTCATGAGGTACACATCGTTCAAGTTTTTTTACTTTTCCGATTTGCTTCAAGTGGATTAATACAGTTTTATCACTTACCCCGAAGCCTGCAGCTATCTATGAAGTGCTTTGTGCTGGATCTGCTTCCACAATAGATTTTAATTCTTCATTTTACACTTTGGTCTCCGGCCGTCCATGGGGTTGGTTCTGAAGGTTGAAATTTCCAGAACGAAAACGTTGAAACCAAAAAAGTACCGTGCTTTCTTTTGCGACACCAGCGCCGTACACATCATTAATCCTTCGAGCTGTTTCTGCAGCACTGGTGCCACGGTAGAACTCGTACTCTACGTAAATGTACCGATATTTCATGTTTTCCATTGTGTGATAATAAACGACGCCAAAGAAAAAATAACGGGGAAAAACGAAATGAATTTTCAAAACTCAAATGTACCAGCCAAATGGATTTGTAAATTTGAATTTGGAATTCTTAACCAAAGAGGAGATATTGCAGATCAAAGTGGTCAGTACGACAAAACGCTAATTTCATTTGTAAGGACCCAATATATTAACCATAAATAGATACAACACTTATAAATAACATCCATTCATAAGTATGGAAGTATGACTCAGAATAATAGGGTGAGAATATGTGTGATAAAAGGAAAGTGGATTTTACTAGAAGATATTGTGACATCCAGGTAAAAATATCTTAAAAGAAAGGAATGCTTTGTTGGCTTAGGCACCAAGAATAAGGAAAAGTGACGAAAAAAGTTATACTGCGGAAATAAGTAGCAGAGTGGGCAAGGGCCGCTCCAAGTTTATCAACCTAAATTGGCCCCAACTTTATTATACTACTATATATACTATATATAACTTTATTATATTACTATATAACAGCTATTGGGATGTAAAAGGAGCAAGAGAGGTGTGTCAGGATCATGACAAATGAAAGTTCGTAATCTTAGCCAATTCACTACCAACAACAAATGTGAGGGTTTATGATTTTAGTTATGAATTTAATGGTTTTGGCTATCTACCAGTTCTTGAAGTTTTGGAGTAGTTTTTTTAACTTCCCGCTAAGAAAATTGAAAATTTTCAAAAATAGGGAAGTTATTGGTTTCACCACGATTGTCGAAAATCGAGTTTTCATCAGATCTCGACGTTTTGAGATCCTAAAAAACTATTCTGACTAATTTCGTGGACGTCCGTACGGATGTATGTATATATTATGTGTGTTTGTAAGTATGTGTTTCAAAACTTTTTCGATTGAGATGTGGTTTGCGGCGTTCTAAAGATCTCAATGTGGAATACGTTTGGTGACAATATTAACTGATGTGGACGCGTAGATTTTGAGAAATCTCAAAAATAAAATTTTGAAAAATTGCTTTTCTGGAATAACTTTTAAACGGCTTTATCGATTGATTTCAAAAACTAATCAGCTCTGAACCTCAAAAAATGACGTTGGATGCCGTTTGGGAAATAAAAATCGATTCATTCGTTCGTAAGATAACGAAGGAAAAGGAGGAGAAGAATTGAAAAAAAAAAACATTTTTTAACATTACATCGAGGTTACGCAATATAATTTGATGAAATTTGGAGCGCTTTTGAAATTAGCGGGAAGTTCCAGGGATGGCGTGCAGGATCAACCATTTTTTTTATACAGCTAGGTGTGCCAAAGGGGCACTCCATCTTTTCATATAATGTACTAGCTATTACCCGCGGCTTCGCCCGCATGGTCACTGGGAAATGAACTATCCATTGCTTTTTGAATTGAAAGAAAACTGAGTTTTATAGATTTGTCAGAGATGCAGCCATTAAAAGGAAACTGAGCAAAATTGATTCGTCAGCCTATTTAAATGTTTTGAAACGCAACGTATAGGAAAGCATGAAAATAGCCTGTTTATTCGAAATGAAAATGGGATATTTTCTTAATTACAGGAAACTGAGCACAATTTTTCGTCAGGGATGCAGACTTTTGAAAAGAAACTGAGCTAAATTGATTCACCAGAGATGCAGTTTTCTGAATTGAAAGGAAACTGAGCCAAATAAAAGATCCGTTAGAGATGCAGCCTTTTGAGTTAAAAGGAAACTGAGCTTAATAGGTCCGTCAGAGGTGCAGCATTTGGAATTCAAAAGAAACTGAGCTAAATAGGAAATTTTGAAGTGAAAGGGAAGATCTGTGGGAATTATGAATAATTGATTGTGGGAATTTTGGAAAAGAAAACTAATTGAACACTATTTTAAGACGCTACTGTACACAATGTTATATGTTTTTCCATTCGGGG